TCTTTTTCTTTTTTTGACTGCTGCTTTGGAATGGAATTGATCTGGGGTGAGGGAGGAACAGGGGTGGAACAATAGTCATCTCTTGAAAATAGAGATTTCAATGTGTAATTATTTTTGCAAAGTGGCTTAGTTTGGGAATCGTAGAAGCAGACTCTGAGATGAAGATTCTTGAGCAAGTGATTTATGATTGAAGTCTTCCCAGGAGATAGTGGTAAGGGAAGCAAGACTGGTAAGGTGAAAAGATGCCAAGCAAGTCTGCAAAATCAGGCAAAGTCCTTCTGAGGGTAGCAAATCTCCCAAAGAAAGTCTTAGGTAAGAGCTATTGGAAGCAAACGCATTCTTCAGTTGGAAGAGGGCTGCTCAAAAAGGATGAAAAAAAAGATCGGAGAGGATCTGGGCAGAGCATTGACTGTCTATTACACAGTGTTTCAGAGAAAGTTTTTCTTTGTGAAGCATTTCAAAGTAAAGAAAAAATAGACTCTCTTGCATAAACCGGTTATAAATGAAGGGATTGCTTGCAATGTATGGGACCTACTTTAGCCCAGTGGATTAAGCTTTGGAGTTAAAACAAAAATGAGCATTGGAGCCTGAAGATCATGCAGCTTATGGCCATTCAGGGGCTGGAAAAAAAGTAAGGTCTGAATGAAGAAGTGGCATTTTTGACGGAAAGAAATGAAAGGTGAGGGAATTACACTAATTATTAGGAAACTGTGCATGGATAAATTACATTGACAGATTAATTGAGACTGAAAGGCTTAGCAAATGAATAATCTAAATTAGTGGAAGGTTAGAAAAAGGATAGAATTCTAGAAAAATTCTAGAATTGAGTGTTTAACGCAAATCTATATGAACCGCAAATTAAAATTAAAATAGTTATCGATGTTATCTAACTGCACAGCAACATCATTATTACATCTAAGGGATGGAAATGTCTCAGAGAGGTCTCACTATATGGAATGACAGACACTTGAGGGTAGCTGTACAGTCTCTGTGGAAAAGGTGGGTGAGGAGAAAATCATGTGATACTTGCAGCCAAGTAGATGTGCTGACATCTGGCTGGTTCACTGCATCAGTTACTTAACACTAGGTCACCCACCGAAGACAAAATAACTCATGCAAATTACAGGCTTGCTACTTTTTTCCCCGCATGTCACATACACAAGGAAGCAATATGGATTTAGGGAGAAACAGTCTGGAGAACATCTCGAGGAAGTTTCTCCAGTACAAGCTCAGGGATTACGTAGGTTGGGGGAGTAATACATAATCACAGACGAAGTGGATGATGTGTCTTGACATTAAATATTTTGGACAAAAAAAAATTGAAAATTTATCTTAGACTGGCAATATTTTTTCACTGCCTCTAAATTACTTTGTGCTGTGTGATGGAGGAATGCTGGCAAATATCTGTAATTTAAGTGTTTAATTCCAATTTTGACATGATTTTTATGCCAGAGAGCTTTTTGGGTAAGAAGCCTATTAAAACTATTTATCACATGAACCCTGGTTTTGCTTTTGGAATACATCATCTCATTAATTAAGAGGTTGAAGTCTAATTACTTCATGTCTGTCTTCACTGGATTATGTAAACAGCAACCCTGTCATTACCAAATCATACACTATTTTTACTTTTCGAAAGATCTGGAGCTTACAGCCATCACTTAAATGGAACATTACAGAAAAGAGCATACCATTCCTAACTATATATTGAATAAGTCTATTCTGTTATTAGTATCTTCTTCAACTTATTTTTCCTTGTTCTGGTCATAGTTCAGTAACATTCAGAGAAGGTGTTATATGGTAGCTACTGTGGTAGAGAAGACCCATTCCTTACATTAACAATTTTGTCATCAAAGAAAAAAAATGCTTCCCTTAGAAATACATTATATATTCAAATAACATAGATTATTTTTGGCAGGCACATAACTTTTAGCTTATGATCATTGTCTTTAGTAATCATTAGCTTAGTTAATGAAAAATAAGATATTTATAATATTGAAAATATGAGCAACTGAAATATGAAACAAATGAAAACCACATATTCTTCTGAATTACTGACTTCCCCTACAAATAGTCCCAAATCACCATAGTATTAATATAGCCCTTTAATAACTTTTATGGACGAATAGTGAATTCCATGTTCAATGTAAGATGCTACAGGAACTTAGAATTTTAATTACAATCGCCTATTTGAATTTTAAAAGTTTCCATAGCAACTTTTATAATCAGGATTCCACTTTCCTTAGCCAAAATATTTTACTGACATTGACCTTCATATAGTGTTACCTACGCATTTGAGCACTGTTTATTTTTAACCATAAAGTTTCTTTGATTAAATTCATTTATGACTTAAATGTAGAAATAAATAATTACTTATTTATAGTAAAATTGAGGCTTACCCTTGGAATCATATTCTTGTAGTGCCATGTAACTAAAATAGGGCTTTGAATTTCAATTCTGCCACTGATGAGCTATGTGATGAGATCTTAGGCAAGTTACTTAACCTGTTTAATCCTCGGTTTCCCCATCTGTAAATCAGGGATAATAATATATACCTTAAATCATTATTTTGAGAATTAAATGAAATAATGTATACAAATTGCCAAGTAGGGCAAGGTATAATTACTCAGTACATTATTATTGTTTAGTGTTGTTATTTCATATCTGTAGTATTTTGTAAAATAGCATGATTAATTAATTGACTGGAAGAGACATGGCCTAACAGATAATATGTAGATCATTTATACTGGCCCTGAGAGTGTCCGCAATAACTGACTTGACTGGCTTTAATGTGTACAATCTGGTGATTTCTATGGTTACTAAGATATAGATTAAAAGTAGATATCAATTTCTTTACATTGGGCAACTATAATTTGTCCATAGATTACACATGTATTATCTTGAGATATTAACTGTGGGTTTTTTCCTCCTTCTGCTTCCTTGCACTAGTTACCTTTTCCTGATGATTTAGGTAATAGCACTTAGCAGGTCAGGGTCAGAACTGATACTGCTGAGAATTAAGTCATTCATCAGCTTTGAGCTTCATATTAGGCCTTTTTTAAAAGTCCACAGTAGAAACAATATTCTTGAGATTATAGCTTTTCTTTGCAGAAGACTGGGTATTTTGGCAGATAAAAAATTTGCTGAGTCCTTCAAAGTGCTGAGAACCTTGAAAGACTCAGTTTATACCAGAAATCAAAAAGTGGGGAAAAATACACAGAATAAGTCCCAAAGAGATAAAATTTGACCAGCATACAGAGAAAATTAAATAGGACCAGAGAAACCTTGTGATTGGGCAAGGAAGCTGACTGCATTGAGAAAACAAGAGAAAATGACTGCAAGTACAGTACAGACAGAAGACGATGCTCAAAACTGGGAAGAATGGGTTATGACTCTGCAGAGGCCAGTGAGGTCAGATAATGGCACTTGGGCCACACCCCTGCCCCTGATGACAAAACAATTTAAGTTCTGCAGGAACTTAGACCACTTCCAAGGAGAAGAAAATGAGGAAGAGGAGAATTCTGAACTGTTTACCCAAAAGAAACTGAGATTTAAACCAGAAGTATGTGTGAAAAAGTCCATTAATCAGACGAGCTCATATTCTAAGCTAGGTTTAGTTACTCGGAAATAAAAAAAAAAAACTTTAATTTTCTAACTTTATAGCTTATGACTGTGTTGAAATATCATATCCACTAAATCATCAGACTTGAAAGTAACTCAAGTTTTAGTTCTTCATTAACTTGAAAGCCTCCATTATCTGAAATAGTTTTCAAGATTAGAGTGAGGGGGCTGGCCTGGTGGCGCACTGGAGAGTGCACCACTTGGGAGCGCGGCGGCGCTCCCACCGAGAGTTCGGATCCCATGTGGAGACCGGTTCCCGCTCACTGGCTGAACGCGGTGCGTGCACAACACCGAGGGTTGCGATCCCGTTACTGGTCAGTTAAAAAGACAAAAAGGAAAAAAAAAAAAGATTAGAGTGAGGAAACATGTTTTATTTTCAAATAATTTTTTTAACTGCCATAAAATTTCAAATAGGTCCATCTACTATTACCCAGGATATTTTAGAAAACAACATTGAAGGGCTGTCTGGTTAGCTCAAGTGGTTGGGGTGCAAACACCAAGGTCAAGGGTTTGGAACCCTGTACTGGCCAGCAGCCAAAAAAAGAAAAAGAAAACAAGCATTGAAAATTACCTTCTCAAATAAGGTACATTATCTTAAGCAGATTAACCCTATTTTCTTTATACCTCAATTTAAAAACAAACTTTAAAAAATATAATTCAAGGTGTTAGTTATCATGGACAAATGTTCTGAATCCCATCATAAGAAGAGTTTAGAAAACTAGAATTTTTCTTCTATAAGCTATTCAGAAAGCTATGAAGTATAACTATACAAAGAACTTTTAATATGCAAACTACATTAAATATATTTATATAATCAGCATTTGGTTCAGCCTTGTCTTCAGCTTCGCATAATTGGTACGCTCCACGATTTATAGGTTTAACCATTTTCATTTGTAGTTGTGTTTTTAGTCATCGGCCAAACCTGATTGTGTTACAGGATAAGTCATTTGAATTGTTAGCCATAGCAAGCCAGGCTAAGCCATAATAACACTATTGATGTTAGACATAATATGATTATTAATATCAGGTTTTATATCAGCTACACTCTTACTGAATCTCAGGCATATAGAAAGGTGAGGAGAAAATGGATTTGAAATATCTCTTGATATTGTTGCTTTGGAATCACTTAATTCTACAAGTGAATATTTAAAAACCGTATCTTTGGTAATTAATATTTAATTTTTGCTTTTAAGTATTTGACTCAATGGAGCCATGCTTTTCATTTTTTTCATTTCATTTCATTTAACCTTAAGAGAAAGTTAACATCTGATTTATTGCCATGGACATAATATTTGCCTTTCAATAAGAAAATATATATATATGTTAGTCTATACTGGTTAACAGTCTTCTTTTCAGAGCTTGTACATTTGCTTGACCCAATGTTATAACTTTAATTTAGTCACAGAATAAGAATAAAGAACTTATAGACTGAAAAGTGAAAAAAAAATTTGTGCATCACGACACTCCAAAATATGTTATTTAATAACAAAGAAAAATGATTGCTACCTTCTGGATAAAAGAGAAAACTTTGTAAAATATCTGAAGCACTGGATATATAACAACATTATTGTAAATATCAATATTTATGGTCTACAGTTGTAATAAAGTTCTAATAAAAACTGTGAAACATACAATCTTTTTTTAACATCTAAACAATCATTGAAAATTCAATTTTTTTTCTTCTAAATTTTTACTTCATAGGGTAGTGAATGCAACACGGCTAGAAACAGGCATTCATAATATATCTTACACCCTCAAAACAATCATATAGACTCTCCCACTATTCTCCTGTAAGCATTCCTGTTGTCTACTGCCATCAATTGTAGGGTTGGAAGGCATTTTAACAAATGGATGACTGATTCAAAAAAAGAGAAAATAAATCTTTCATTAAGACAGTCCCCTGATAGTGGACACTGCTTGTTAAGAATCCAAAGGATTTTCTCAGTGTTCCATCCCATCATTTTTGTTGACATAGTCTGTGTTCCACATTGCCCTATGGCAATGTTACTCTTGCATTCCAATGCATTTTCTTAGTTCAGCTGCAGTTTTTTCCAGTTGCTGAATGTTCCATTGCCATTGTCTTCTATTTGACTGAAGCTTGTTCACCTGACAATGCAAACGCTTAAGAATTGCGTCATATCTCTTATGTTGCACCTATTGAAAGAAGAGTACACATCAACAAGAGCTTGGAAGGATAAGTAGCAAATGGTCATAAAGGATATTTTGACTACTCTAAAGAGGAAAGCACTTGATTAGAAACTATTCACTGTAAATAATAATGATAAAAATAAACAGTAATTGTATGATAACTATTTATTCAACATTTATTACAAGTTAGAACTGTGCTGAGAGCATTCCATATATAATTAAATTCTCACAACATCTTATGATGTGGGTTATTATTACCCTAATTTTTGCATGAAGAAACTGAAGATTAAAGAGTTTAAGTAATTTGGCCAAGGTTTCATAGCTAGCAAGTCGGTGGTATTTGGGATTTGAACCAAAGTGAAGTAATACCTTTTACTTCTCAAGGCAGTTACCAGTGTTAAATCAAACTAAATTTGGCCTGAGGCAGTCTCAGTACATTGAGTCCCTATGTAAGGAACTGCAACCTAACAACTGAAAGCCTAACTTAGAAGTATACTTCTGTAACAAATAGCTGAGTCTCAGCCAATCACAGGCTGCCAATTGATCAGACCATGTTCAAATAAGGCAAATGCTGAGCTGTAACCAATTAAGCATGTGTTGGTAGTTTCCATTCAGGTACTATCTTTCTGACAAGTATAACTTTGATGCGGAGATTGGCTCCTTGAGCACCCAGAGCCAGAGGTCAAGAACACTGAAACTCAGTTGACTGACTTGATTTCCATGTTTACTAATAACCTTGTGATAATGTGGCTTCCATTGTATTTTTCCTACAAGGAGGAGAAGCAGTACTACTGACTGACATAAGTTATTTGATTTCCTTAAGAGTTTAGTTATTATAATAAATGAATAAACTGGCATTTGATTTTTATATATCAGTTTCTTATGAATTGTACTAGCATCTCTGTCTACCCAATTCTGGAACACTAACAAGATTAAGTTTCTAAGCTCACAAGGCTAAAAATGGTTTTGGCCCAGGGGTGACTTCGTGAAGGTCACCTTGTGTGCCTTCTTAAAAGACAGCCATTTGTTCAACCTCTACTGGTACCAGTCTGACTTTGATGTGTTTCTTAATATTGAAACTTGAATACCATTAAGCAGCTAAGGATATAATGGTTCTATAGAGAAACTAGCTTTTTTGCCTCGAAGAAATGGATGGGTTATTATTCCTATTTAGTTATTGTTGTTAGCAAGACAGAAAAAAAAAATGATAATCAGGCGTGATACCCTCAAAACACACTGAAAAAAAGGGAACAAGGCCCTGTACCAACCAATATAATCAGAATACCACTCTGACCTCATCTCTTACTACTTTTCTCTTTATTTCCTCCACTCTGGACACACTACCCTTCTGTTCCCTGAGCCCAGGCATGTTCCCATTTTAAAACTGTTATACTCACTTTTCTTTTTGCCTGGAAAGCTCTGCTTCAGATATTTGCACGCTTCCTTCACTTATTTCAGGTTTTTCCCCAAAGAGGTCTTCTCAGTGAAGCTTTTGTTGGCTACAAAAGCTAATATTTACCTTTTCTCTCCCCACACCACATACATTACATATCTTTCCCTGCTCCATTTGGTCCTTAACCCTATCCTTGTATAACATGCTATGTAAGAGGTGGGGGGTATAGGTGGGAAGAGGGGGGGAGAGAGAGAGAGAGAGAGAATCTCGTTTATGTCTGTCTTTCCAATTTCAATGCAAGTTTCATGAGGACAGGACTTTTATCCATTTATTTTGCTCATGACTCTATCTTTAGAACTTAGAAGAGTAATTAGTATATGGTAGGCACTCAATAAATGTATTGAATGAATTAATGAACAAATAAATTAATAAAATGAGGCAGTTCCGGTAAATCAAATGGCTTAGAAGTGGACTACTCTACGATGTATAAATTAATTGAATTGCCATCCTATTTTGAGAAGAACATCATGTGAAATATATTGCTAAATTCTGTATCGTTCAGAATTTCTCCATGTATATAACAAACACTCACACAATGTCACTGTTTACCATGGAGAAAATGCTGCACTTAAAACTCTTGGAGCTCACTTGCTGACATTTGAACATGTCATTTAATCTCTCTTTGCTTCAGATGTCTAATCTAAAGTACAGCTAAATATTTTTATGGAGGTATAAGTGCACAGATTATTAAGTGTGCAGTTCAGTGACTTTTGACAATGTAAACACCCAAATTATGTGTGTCTGTAATTCATTTTAGTATAGCACATATAGTTAGATAGCATTTTGTTATATGAATGTACCGCAACTTGTTTATTCATTCTCTCTTTTTAGGAACATTTAAGATGTTTTATTTGGAGGCTATTATGAATAAAGCTGCTATGAGAATTTATATACAAGTTTTTCTTTGTGTCATGTTTTCATTTTTCTTGAAAAAAACACCTAGGAGGAGAATTGCTGATACACTGGGTAGGCATATGCTAACTTTTTAAAAAACTGCCAAATTGTTTTCCAAAGCAGTTGTACCATTTTATAATCTCCCCAGCAATGCTTTCTCAGTATCATTTCCTTTCAGCTTTAAGAACATTCTTTAGCTTTTCTAGTAATGTGAGTCTAGTGGAAACAAAGTCCATCAGCTTTTATTGATCTGAAAATTTCTTTATTTCACTTTTATTTCTGAAAAATATTTTCACTAGATATAGAATTCTTGATCTTTTTTTTTCCTTTCAGCACTTTAGTGATGCCTTCTATTTTTCACTAGTGTCCATTGTTTCTGATTTTAAAGAATCACTCATTCTCATCGTTTTTGTGTATTTAATGTGATTTTTTTTCTGACTGCTTTTAAGCTATTTTTTCTTTATATTTTGTCTTCAGTAGTTTGGCTATAATGTCCTTAAATATATGATTTTCTCTGTGTTTACCCTGCTTGGAGTTTGCTGAATTTCTTGTGTCTTTAAGTTATACTTTTAGTCAAGTTTGAAAAATTTTTGGCCAGTATTTCCTTGAATTTTTTTATTCCCTTTTCTCTCTCTCTCCTCTCTGAGTCTATAGTTATCCTTATGTCAGATTGTTTAATATGGTCCCACAGATCATTGAAGCTGTATGTATTTTCCTTAATTTTTATTTTTCTCTGTATGCTTGTTTAGATGATTTCTACTGATCTGTCTTCCACTTTGGGAAAGATCCTGCCTTCCTTCTGATGTGCCTAATCTGCTATTAATTCCACCCAATATATTTTCTTTATTTTGACATTTTATTTTTTCAGTTCTAAGATTTCTATTTGGCTCTTTCATATGATTAAAATCCTCCCTCTTTACCCATCATACCATCATATCCATCTTTTCCTGTAGAATGTTTAACATATTTATCATAAGTTTTAGTCCTTACCTAACAACTTCCTTATAATGTTGCTCTATTGGTTAATTATTGTCTTAGCTATGGGTAATAACTTTGTGTTTCTTTACATTACTAGCAATCTTTTATTACTAATTCAACATTGTACATATGTTATAAGCTCTGGATTCTGTTATTTTCCTTTGAAAACAGTTGAGTTTTGTTCCAATCAGTAAAATTACTGGTGGATCATATTGAACTTGTGAGACTTTTACACTTGTTAGTGTGTTGTATATTTCAGTTTTGCCTTTAGATCTCGGCCTTGTCCTTAGTTCAGTTTTGTCTTAGTTCTTAGTTCTGAATGTGGTCTTTACTCCTAAGATTTGGTAGTAGTAAATGGACAGATCCCGAAATCTCTGCTCAACTCGTAAACACTCTGTTGTTTCCTAACTGTGCCTCTCTGAGTTTTATCCCCATGTATGTGCAGTTCAAGTTACAGCAAAGAATTTGAAGAAAGTTATATGTAAATTTGGGGCTCCTAATAAGGCCAAATTTAATATTTACCCAATCAACCTCATCAGGAAGGAAGTAAGAATCATTAAACAGTATAAACTTATTTCAAATGTAAGGTATTATTGTTAATGTTGATAATTATTAAAAGAAAGTATTAAGTAATAGAATAAGCATGGATCTTATCTTATGACTCAGTAATGCTACTTCTTGGTAAAAAAGGGTGTGTATATTATAATGTTCACTACAACATTACTTTTAATAATCAAACTGGAAACCATTTAGCTGTCCATCAGTTGTAGGATGGTTAAATAAATTCAGGTATAGCCATACTTTATCATATTTTATAGTAAGATACTATATAGTAGTTAAAAAGATTAAAGTAGGCCAATATATATTAATATGACAAATCTATGAGACAATTGTTAAATAAGTTACAAAATGATACTCATATGTATAGTACACTCATGTAACCCTCTCCCACCCAGAGGTGTGTACGTCTGTGTGTACCATGAGGAAGAGGTGAGAGTGATGAGAGAGAACAATGTGATAGAACGTGGTATCAAAGGAGCTATAGCCTTCCCTCAAATATTTCATCTTTTTTCAAAGAGAATATATTCCTAGAAATAAAAACAATTTTTAAAAAAGATTGGGAGAAATAGAGTCCAACAGACCTTGATTCATATCCTACTCTGTCACTTAACATTAGCTGTATAACTTTGTACAAGTTATCTAAATTTTCTAAAATTCTTTAAGATGTGTTATCATGAAAATTTAAATGGGATAGCCTATATAAAGTGCTTGTAAGATACCAGACACTCAATAAATAATAATAGGTTTAATAATACTGAACATTTCTGCTCGTACTTTCTAGAAAACAGAATAACTGTTACCATGTGATCTAGCTATCTACCTGAATAATGCTTTTCCTGACTCTATGTCACCTTTTCCCCTTTGCCTCTCTGGATTTTTCTCTTAGGACTGGCTTTCTACTTGTGTAATTATTTCTGTTTCTGACTTCAATAAATGAATGCATTTGTTAATCACGTAGCCATATGTCGTACCAAGTTAAGCATGCTTTGTTCATGACCCCTAGTAGCTCTGAAAGTGTACCAGTTTTTTTCTATCCTTTTAAATTTTGAGCTCAGACTGTACTAAATTTAGGCAAGAGTAAGCCATCAATACTTTACACAAAGTTTGTTATCATGAAATA